TAAGACTTTAGATTGTGAAGCTGTTTCGTCTTTGTCGCATAATGAGAATGTGAGAACGAATGAATTGTGGGCTGCTAAAAGCGTTGAATGTTCTAAAACAGCAGAAGCTTTGCGTTTATTAGGAAATCAATTTGTAGACGTTGCAAATCTACAGGCGCGATGGTTAGCTTTTAATAGCAATTTTTTCGAATTAGATAGCATATCCCTAAACTCCTCCAATAAAAAAAAAACCTGTAAACAGCAAAAAATGTGTGCTAGTATCAGATGTTTAATTACAAAATATGATACTAACATTGATTGGGTGCAGTGTGTTACATGCAAAAAATGGTTTCATCAACTTTGTGAAATTATTGGTGAATCAGAAAAGAGTGTATTGTGTGGTATAGCGATGTACCAGTGTTTAGCATGTCAGGGTGAAGATATAGAATGCCTTGACCTGTATATTTCTGAAAAAATTTCTTTTATACGTGCGCAACGCGAAGTTGTAGATGTTGAATATATTAAATTGCAGATGGAGTGTGGAGACCTAGAAAAAATATCCAAAAGTAGCATGGGGACGCATGAGAGGTCTCTTAATAAGGCCCTTGAAGATATGAAGGTTGAGCGACAAGCGTATCATGGTAATGTGTTTGTAGGTAATCATTGCAAAATAGTCTTAAGAAACCATTATAAACTTTGTAGTGTTATTGATGATGAAGCTAATAAAAATAGATTTGTACGCGTGTTTAGTGTTTTTAATAAGTTGCAACCAATTCTTTTTAGGCGAAAATTTCTTTCTGATGCCGAAATAACTGAGCTTCATCAATATATAAATTTATTTGTTATCGAGTTTCATGCTTGCTTTCCAAATGAAAGTATCACACGAAAAATGCATGAACTCATTTTTAATGTGCCACTATTTGTAAAATTGCATAAAACTATTGGGTTGCTGAGTGAAGAGGAGGGAGAGTGTTTGCATAATAGTGTAAATAAGGAATTAAGACAGTTGCATTCAGTAAGAAATCAGGAACAGAAGCTGCATCATGTTTTAAATTGCACAGCAAAGCTGATAGGAAGCTTCAAGCCTCTAAGGTGAGAAAGTGTGTTGTGTGTTCTGAGCGTCGTGAAAGTTCATTTTATAGATAAGGCCTATGTCTTGTTTGTGGTCATAAAATTTAGTCTAATTAAAAAAAAAAGTTTTTAAATCTAAGATGAAATAAATATAGTAAATAAGTAAATTTTATTTTGTTTTATCATGTCTGTGTAATGTTACTTTAAAATATTTATTGTTTTTTATTATATTAATTTTATATTAGGTAGGTGCCCATTTTATTTTTATCTTCACAAGTTAATTATACCTATGCAATACCATCCAGGTTAAAGAATGGTATATAAGTCTAGCATCAAATCGGTGTAAAAATATAGCTTACTACTTTGACTTATGATAAGAACATCTGGTATATTTGTTGGCTATGATATTAAATAATTTTTTGTGTAGTTAATTTAAAAAATGTATTGTATTTTATTATATGTAACATTTTATTTAAATATTAGATGCCCATTTGGCTATTTTCATCAGAAGTTAGTTCTACCTCTGCTCAACATACCATCTCTCTGGTTAAAGAATAGAATTTAAGTCTCATAAATAATAATTTATTGTAAAGATACAGTTTAAATTAAGAATTTGTCAAAGCTATTGTGAGTCTGTTAAACAAAAGCTTTTCGTCTGGTTTAGAATGGAGCCTGAATCTATAATCAACTAGGTGTACAAAGATCTTTTTCTAATTAAAGAACTTATCAGTGGATCAACTTATTATAAAACAGTTTTTTATGAGAATAAAAACACATTACCAAACAATTTAAATTTGCTATTTGTATATTTAAAGAAATGTTTTACTTTTTGTGAGAAGAGATTCAAATGCCATAAAATGATTTATTACCGAATGTGAGATTAATTCAAAAACTTCAACTTCAATGAATTATTTTATTAGACTTTTTTCAAAATTGAAATCTGGCTTTATTTTGTAATGCATTGAATTTATTAACTTAGTGAATTATTTTCACATTTCGTATTTAAAAACGTACTCGTTTAACAGCTAATCCCCCTTCAAACGATATTTTTCATAATTTTGCATAAAATGCGGTTTGCTTGCAGACTGCAATAAAGACTGTTTTAGTTAACCTTTAACAATTAAGTAAGGTTTGTTTATTTTAATAATAGTCAAACAACGAATGTGTTTGATAATAACTATCAGAACTATATTTTTCTGATTTTTCTTTGATAAAAAGTTACGAGAAATTACTAAAATTTAGCCAAGTTTTTGTCATGTTTTTTATAAAATAAAAGAAGCTTTTTTACTACTGTATTAAATGTCGTATGATAAAACATTTTATTGTTGTTTTTATTCTTTTTACAAAACAAAATTATCTCAAATATTTCAAAAGTTATAAATGTTTTAGTAACACCCCCTACGTCAATATTTTCCAAAAAAAACAAGAAGCTGTAAAGCTCACTCTGAAACAGCCGTGATGTATATATATGATAATTATTTAAACTAAAACCATATTTGCAATAATAGTTTATGTTAAAACCAATAAAATATAGTATTATGTAGTTACATACAATTTTTGATGGTAAAAATGCAATATATTTTAAATGCGAGAGGTACAGAACTTTTTTGTTCTAAAATCCTGGTAATTTAATAAAGCTTGCTAACAAAAGGGCCTAAACTTTTTAATGTTGAAATTCTAAAGAAAACCGAGTTGAAAGCCCTTTTTCCTGAAAACATGGTGCCAGCTAGTGAAGTAACAATATTCAAAAATATACTAGGGTTAAGAACTCTCAAATAGAAACTACTTGCAGCGTTCTTAGGAGCTGGAAAAGAATAAAGTTTTTTGAACCCAATCTAAAAGAAAAACTGTTGTAAAAAATTTAAAAGACAAACTGTTGATGTTGCAGAACTTCAATGTGTCAAAGCTAATAAATCAACTAGTGGAAAAAAGAGAAATATCCCCATATTATATTGTAAAGATTGGAATAGATGGGGTTTGTTTAATTAATCTTGATTTTGAAGTGAATAAACCTAAAACTAAGTTCTCGTACAGAGAGGAAATAAAGCAAGACAAATTCAAGGATATGGGTGTTAGGAAGCTTATCATTTTGGCCATTGTTGAAGATGCTAAAGAGAATCACCAAAACATTATGCAAATTATAGAACTGTTGGGGATTTCAACTAAGAATTATCTTTTAGCATTTGACTTATAGATTGCGAAGTTTTATTTTGGCATTGAAGCAGCTTCTTCTACACACCCCTGTAGTTGTTGTGAACTGTCAAAACAAGACAGGATTTCACAATCTGTGGCCACATAAGGTAATTAGTTTGGCATTATAAAATATTTTTTTTATATAGTCAAAGTATCATTCTAGATATCTTTTTAATTCAGGATTTTAAGATTTTTTTTAGAACATCTGATATGATTAGAGATGCAAAACAGTACAAAAAGGTTTGTGAGAATCACATGAAAAAAAGTAAACTCTAGGCTGCAACATTCAAGAATTGTGTCCAAACTCCTTTGCTAGACCTACAAGATGATACATCTGTTGCAGAAATCTTTCCTCCAATGGAGCTTCATTTATTTTCTGGAAACACAAACCGTTTGTATAACATAGGTGATAAAATACTGTCAAAAGCAGAAATATCAATTACCATGGATATCTGGAATAAAGCAACTAGATTTATAACGCTAAGATAGCACAGTGGCCAGTTCAAGTGAGGATATTGTTCAAAACTATTAGATAACATAGAAACTTTAGAAAAAATTCTCAAATCCAAATTTGAAGTTGTACCTGATAAATGAAAATGCTTATGCATGCAATTTAAGTACTAAATAATGTGAAGAAAACTTGCTTTGGTCTAAGTTCGGACATATCTTACAAGAATCACATCAATGCCTACAAGGAAGCATATATGGCATTGCACAAAAAAGTATCCTCAAAAGTACATGCTATATTCATTCATGACCAATTTGTTTGGAGTTAATGGCTGAAAAATACCCTGGAAAAGGTCTTGTTTTTTGGTCAAAACAAGTTTCTAAATCAGTTCATTTTGACTTCAGACAGTTTTATCAGCAAGAATACAAAGTTTCAAGTTGTCACAAACTGCATCAATCAAAACTGCTGAGATCGGTTACTTTTTAAAATTGTAGACAGGCACATTTAAAGATTTAGTTTTAGAGCAAACATTTATGCTTTTAGAAGACTTATACATACTTTTAATCTTATATTTGTAATTCATACGTATTTAAATATCAATATGGTAAATATCAAAGTCTCAATATGGTTTCGTTTGTCATAGGAAAAATTAGATGAGAGCTCAGAAAAGAAATGTCATTCAAGATATCTTGATATTAATATCTTAAATATTTGCATTAACATGAAAACCCTAATGGAAGTAGAACTTTTTATGGCTGCTCCTTATCAAGCCTCAAAACTCTATTTTTTTAAAGCAAAAAAAGAGTTGCAAAATTTATATTTTTACTTTTATTATAGTAGTTGGCCTTATTACCTGCCAGGCTCTCTGGCAATATATATATATATATATATATATATATATATATATATATATATATATATATATATATATATATATATATATATATATATATATATATATATATATATATAAAGTGTAATTAAATAGAAAAATACAACTTTATAATGGAACTAATTTGATATAATATATATGGCTGAAGATTGCCGATAGGCATGAAACTTTTAGTTCCATTATAAAGTTGTATTTTTCTATTTAATTACACTTTATTTATATATATATTAATCTATTTTGTAAAATTATTTTTACATTATATTGATCACTCTCAAGTAAACAAGAGGATTTGTATCTCAACCAGATACAATAATAAACAACAATATATATATATATATATATATATATATATATATATATATATATATATATATATATATATATATTGCATTATTTCATAAAATGTTACATTTTTAGAACAATGTGACAAGTTATGACAAGTTTTTGGTGTATGGTGAATATTATAAGAAAATTCGTGATCGTTTGATTTCCTGTCTTTTAGAAGATAACCTGCAAGGTATAACTCAATTAGAAGAGGTAAGATTATTACTTTGTTATTCTTAAAAAAGTTTTTTTATTTTGTCTTTTTTTTTTTTATAAATGACCTTTTTGCTCTTAAAAATTTATTTTAGATAAATAAAATATTTTAGAAAATAAAAAGGTAATTAATTATTTTATGTATTGTAGGATGATAAAGACAAAACAAATCTGTTTCTCCAATTATCATTATTCAAAGATTTATTCAATCTTCGTGTAGGAAGGAATATTTATTGTTGCAATTACAAAATTTGATTTTTTTTTTTTTTGTTTCTCTGTTATATTATAAATATTTCTATGTACATGCTATATTTTCTATGTACATTCTATATTTAGTATTTATCTTACTTATTATTTATATTACTATATTTAGTATTTATCTTATTTTAGTCTTTATCTTTAGAATCTTAAAATACTTGAAGATAAAATAAAAGTACAGGTGCAAATAAAACTTTTTTTTGAAATTTTTTATTTATTTTAATTTTACTGTATTGTAACTAGTTTTGCTATATTATAACTTATAATTTGTCTTTAGACATGTTTATCTGCCATAAGAAGCTTTTCAACTTTAGAATCATATTCTTCAATTTTATATCATTTTTGGGTCGTAATAAATTCTGGAAATCCATCTACACGTCTTTTTTCGCTGCTGGCTACGTGCCCACAACAAGTTAATGTTAGAATATTAAATACATATTCTGAAATAGTTTTTTACATATGTAAAATACATAAAATATTAAGGAGATTCAAATCTACTGCATCATTAAAATTATATATATTGCAGAATAATTAAGAATCAATTCCACAATTAGAACAATTTACAAATAAAATTATATTAAATCTAAGACGCATAAAAATTCATTATGATGCAATTAGGTGTGCTAGCATAATTATGACACAATAAAGTGTGCTAGCATAATTTAAAATAATTATCAAAATAATTTAAAATAATTATTAAAGTAGCATAATTAATTTTGATAATTACTTCATAACCATTACCAAGCCAAAAGTATTTACCTGGGTAATGGGTAATTTTAAATTTACCCGGGTAATACCTAAGCATTACTCAGATAATTTTTTCAATTAGATATTACAGCAGCCATTAAATAACCTATGTGGTGTAAGTTTATTCAATTTCGATTTTTTTTCGAAAAAAACAACAAGTTTCGGAAAGGTTAAAATGAAGAAGTTTTTTAACTTTTATCTTTAAACTAAATTTTACTTTTTTTAAAGTTTTTTGTACTAATCTATTTCTTATTTTTATGGCAAAATTTCTACTTTTACTTCTTTGCAAACTTCACAAAATCTTTGTAGCATTTTAATAATGTTATTCCGTCATGTTTTATAATCTAAAAGTAAAGCTATCCAAAGGACTGAATACTTTAAGGTTGAAGATTGTCATCATTTCTGAATGGAGACTTTCTGAAGACTTTGACAATTTTACAAATTTTACCAACAGTAGCACCAATATCAGAAACTAGGTTTGTCTCAGTGCCTAATTCATCACAGACCTCTATTGTTTTTTCTTAATTCTTTTCCTTTTCAGTTTTATCATAAATTAATTCATTGTGTATCTTATAAGGCTTCTAAAGTATATCGCAAACAGAAAGATAGACTACATGTCACCCAACATGAATTGGAATGGTCTATTTCCTGAATTTCATTAAAACACTCGCACCATCAGTGATTGTTGCTACAATGTTGTCCAAATCCAATTGGAATTCAAACAATCTTGCTTTAAAATGTTGAGTAGCTTTTTTCAGTGTTCATGCTTCCGTTGACACAGATTATTCCTAGAGATTAAAAGCCATCTAAACCATGTAAGTTCAGATTCATTAAACAATGGTTTCTGACTGAAGTGAGTTCGTCAAAACTTATAGAAAAATGACCTCCTTCTTCTTGAATTTTTCGAATGTCTTTCTTAATTATGTTAATAATTTTACCATATTCTGCCATAAATTGATCTCTGATATTTTGAGAGCTTTTTGAATTATATTTTGCATTTCTGAATTATATTTTTAAAATTACCCAGGTAATTTTGAAAAATTACCCGGTTAACGGGTAAGGAAAAACTTGCAAATTACCTGGGTAACGGTTAAGGTAATACCCGGGTAAGAAATACTGTTCATAACCTAAAATCACAATAAAAGAAATTTATGGTATGTAGATTTTTGGTGACAATACAAAAAAAAGATTTTGTTTTAATTTGATTTAATAGTAAAATAAATTGTTAAAAGCTAATATATAAGTCCTAATCATTAATAATATATAATATTGATATATATATATATAACAATATATATAATATATAATATATATAATATATATAATATAATATAATATATATAATATATATAATATAATATAATATATATAATATATAATATAATAATCATTAATAATATATAATATTGTTATATATATATAATAATATATAATATTGTTAAATTAATAGCTAATATATAACTACTAATCATTAAATTTTTTACTAGTTTATAACTCTGACTAATTTATAACTTTTTACTAATTTATAACTCTTACTAATTTTTAACTTTTTACTAGTTTATAACTCTTACTCATTAAATTTTTTATTATTTTACTTTATTGTTATTAATATTAAACAATATTGTTTGAAAATGTTTTAAAATAAAAATAGATAAAAGAAGTTGTTTTTTCTTACATCTTCTTAATATTCCATTCTTGTTTATTTCCTTAAAATTTTTTTTTTTTTTTTTTTTTTTTTTTTTTTTTTTTTTTTTTTTTTTTTTTTTTTTGCTTATTTTTTTATTTCGAATGTGTTATGATATTTTTTTGTTCACTAAAATTTTGTTTACCAAAATTAAATTTTTTTTTTTAATTTTTTTGTTTACTAAAAGTTAAACTGTTTTATATAGTTATAAAACAATTTTTTTTATTTTTATTAGGGATGGTTTCTTCCTGCAATGCCACATGATAACTTATCAGATGTTTTTGGCTTAAATCATAGTGATAACAGAAATTCTTTTTTATTTTATGGTAGCCTTATTTGTTTAAAATATAATGCTGTTTCAATTTATATTTTATTTTTTAAATTTTTAAATCTAATTAAATGTTGTTTAGCATGTCCTCGTGGTCATCCATATGTTATAACAAATGTAAGAGTTTAATTTCATGTTTTGTATTTAATCATTTTATATTTAATTTAGTTCTTAAAGCAATTTAAGATATAATAATGTAGTTTTAATAATATTAACAATTTTTATTTAAATATACAGTAAATTCTCAATTGTTCGAACCTTCAAAAGGAACAAGAATTTAATTTGAATAACAGAAAGTTCAAATAACTGAAACTTTTTTTTAAAGTGACCTATTTCATGCTATTACCAAATTTTAACAGAAGTAGGGAGTAAAAAAGAAGAAAAACTTTGAAATAAAATACTGTTTAAGTCTTTACCTTCTAAAAAAACAAGTTTAAAATAGAAAAATATTTGGCATTATTTTCGAAAAGCGAGCAACATTCAACTAACTCTATTGTAAATCTGACAATTGCTAAGCCTAGTATCGAAGATGTTTAATAAACATTCTCTATAACCAAAAAAGCAACCAAAAACAGATAATTTTTTCAAAAAATTATATAGATTTTTTTTATTTTCAATTTGTTTTTTTACAAGGTTAAGAAATATCAACATTTTTGAAGTTATGACCAACATGAATATAGCTTCTAAAATGTTGATAATGTGGGGTCGTTTTACCAGCACTGATGTATTTGATCTGGCGCCTCACAACATTCGTGCAATAGAAAGCCTTCAATGTCCATATGACTTCCTGGTCCATTGGCTGAGTTTTGGAGGTTTTGTTTGTTGATAAACATAAAAATTCAAATGCATTTAGATTTTTCGTCAGAGGCTGTTGATAAAATAAACTAAACTTTTCAGTGTTGTAAATACTTCTTTAAATAACATTAATAAATTACAACTTGATGTCTTTTCCTCTGTAATCGAACTTTACTCGCCAGTAATAGGTCAAAAAGTAACATTATGTCTATTTTTCCACCAATCAAGCCACCCTTTTGTCCATCAATTGGTAAATTTCGTTCATGTGCGTTCATAAACCATTTATATACAGCTTTATTAATGGAATCATTCTTTCCCAAATTAAACGTTTATCTCTTTGCTCCATATTGACCAGACTCATTCTTGCTGATTATGTCTTTTTTATGCTTAATCCAGTTGGTTAAAGTGTTTTGAGGAACGCTAAACTTTTAACAAAAAAATTTTTTTTTTAGTTATTCCTTTTTCTAAATCTTTAAAAGCAAGATAATTTTCTTTGATTGTCTAAACTATTTTCTTTTGTGTAGATGCTATTTTGAAATTTCTATCTCACTAGGTATTGATTATTTTTATATTTTAATAACGTTATTTTGTTTGTTATACTTTGATAATGTTCCATAAGGTTACATTTTTAAACGCAATGGAATGTTATCAATCGAAAAAACCTTCGAATAACTGACAGGGATTTTGTTAAGAGGAGTAAAAAATCATTTTAAATAGCTGAAATTTCAAATAACTGCAGGTTCGAATAACTGAGGAATATTTGCATCAGTTTGTAAAGGAAAATTCAATAAGTGTCAGTTTGAATAAGTGGGAGTTTACTGTAGAAAGTATTTTACTTCATTATCTCTTAAAAGTTGTTTTCTCTCCAGATATTTCTAACCATAAAATTTACCTCAATCTTTGTTTATTTGACTTTTAAATTAAGTTTATTGAATAGGCAAATCAATGCCATGTGTGCTTAAAGATATGGTTTGTTAAATTTTCTTTTGACAAATTTTTTTGAATGGTAATTTCAAAAGAGTTCTTTAAAGTTCTAGAAAAGGTTTTTACTTAATCCATTCTAAAATAATATATAAGTAAGATCTGGCTTAAGTCAGTTTGCAATAAATAGTCTTGATTAAAAAAGATGTTTTGTATTATCAGAAAAAAGACATTTAAATCTTATAAAAAAGCAATTGAAGAGTTAAAAAATATTTAGTGTAACTAATAAGAAAGAAAACTGACTGAGAAAAATATGAAATATTATTAGTTTAAAGTAGAAAACAACAAGAAAGTGGGTTATGTGGCAAACTAAACTATAAAAGTTTGTCTAATAAAAACTTGAAAACGGTATAAAACTTTGCTGGTGAAAGATAAAGTAAGTGACAATACACTAATAGAAAAAATTACTAGTACTTTAGGCTCTCAAAGTAGTTATGATTATTCAGGTTAACTCTGAACTAAAATACCCCTGTCTTGGGGCTCTTGGTTGAGAAAAGACTAGAGATAGTCTCAATAAAAATACTCATATTGGGCAGATGTTAGCTGCCTTTCAGCTACTTTCTTGTAGAAGGCCTTCTAGGTAATGAATTCAAAGGAATCAAAAAAATCTGTTAAGCAGCTTTGCAGCTCTTTATCTAATAGGCTGGTATATATGTAAACTTGTTTTACATTGTATCCTGATAAGAATGATGAATGCTGGTTCTTTTTGACTTGACTCTTGGGATTTTACTTGTGCTCTCTTGATAGTAACTCTCTAATTCTTCCTGTTTAGACCAATTTTCTAAAACTCAATTCAATAGTTCTGAGGGTGGCTAGTAGTAGAGTTTCTCAAACTCTGTTGTAATTCTCGTAAAGGCTGGTTATATCAATAGTTGTAAAATATCATAGTACTAACAGTGTCATGTTGCGCAAAGAAAGTGCCCCTGTTAGTGCTTTTGGTGGGCATTGTTGAGGCCACAATATCAGCCTTTTGTTATAACTTTGGATTGATTAGCAGGAAAAATCCTTTAAAAATATGTAACAAGATATATAATAATACTTATATTAATAACAATAGTAATAAACAGAGTCGTTTCGTGAAACATTTTATATGTGTGAGAATAAATTAGGCACCTTTTTTAGTTCCTACAAGCCCACAAGCTAACCCTTGCTGGCAAAAAATTTATACTACTTTAAATTAGAAAACAAAAAATACTAAAAGATAATAACTTGTTTAGGAACTATTGATTTTAAACATATTTTTATGAGATATATACATTATTTACAAAAACAAGGTTTACTGCTATTAAATTGCTACTATTTGTGGTTCACATAACAGTAAAGTTTAAGATTTTAAAATTTAATATCATCATAACAATCAAAACCAAAATAATATGTAATGTAATATACTTATTTAGTATAAAGTGTAATGTTTGAGGCTTTTTTAGTGTGGTAAAGCTTATCAAACATACTTGTGTCCTGTTTCAAATTGTCAATTAGCAATTGGAGGAGAAAATCATTTACTGCTTTCCACAAACAGAATTGTTTCTGCTAGGTATTTACTTAGACAAATTTTAAAAAAATGTTACGGTCTTTAAAAAATTTTTAACAATGTATATCTTAATTAGCATAATGTATTCTTTATTTAGTTAAAGAAAATATATTCATTTTCATTATATATATATATATATATATATATATATATATATATATATATATATATATATATATATATATATATATATATATATATATATATATATAGATAGATTATCACGTATAAATTATCATGTATAAAATATATATATATATATATATATTGATTATCACGTATAAATTATTATAAAGATTATCACGTATAAATGCCATACTTTGGTGCCTAAAATAAAATTGAGCGTGTATATTTTTTATTTGGCAACCATAGCTAGTTAACACAATTTCCCAATTATTATTAAATAATCAAAAAATAATTTCCCAATTATTTTTTGTACTGTAATCATTTTTTCATTAAATTTTCAGTTTTTCGCAAGTGGTCTTAAACTTTTTTCCAAGACTGTATATATATATATATATATATATATATATATATATATATATATATATATATATATATATATATATATATATATATATATATATATATATATATATATATATGTACATATATATATATATATATATATATATATATATATATATATATATATATATATATATATATATATATATATATATATATATATATATATATATATATAGTCTTGCATGGTAGTTGTTTTTCCCATAAACTGTAGTTTTAAAGAGAGATATATTAATAAACGAAAACAGAAAAAGTTTTAGTTTTAAAAAAAGATATATTAATAAACTAAAACCGAAAAAGTTAAATAATTTTTTTTCTTAAATAATAGACTGCCTGCCCAAACCAAACTTTTTTTTACATTAAAAAGCTTTTTTGATTACAATATAAGGATATATATATATATATATATATATATATATATATATATATATATATATATATATATATATATATATATATATATATATTATACAGGGGTGGATCTAGGGTATGTCTAGTACATCTGTAGATGTACCCAAAAAAAATTCAATTAAAAAAATAAAAAGTTGATATAATATTTTAATTTTGCACATAAAAATGATATTTTACTTAACTGTCAAGTCAATTAGATTTAGGTTTTATTATCTGATTTAAGTTATATAAACACTAATAAAAAAATTGTTTCTTCTTTAGAGCTCTATTCTTTTCATTCTAGCCCTATAAAAAATTCAATTCCATTTTTATTCAAATACAGCACGTGACACGCGTCAAATTATTATTAAAACAATTATAAAATCTGAAAAATGAATTCGATATTAAATTTAAGTTTTTTTTTATTATAACCAAACTAACTTAGTTTATTAAGTTATAATTTAAATATTAAATATAGTGCAATTACTTAAGCATTTAATGCAGCTATTGCTTATAACTACAATCTGTTATAAAAACAATAATCAAGTAAGTGAATATTACAAACTGTTATAAATAAAATTTAACTCTTTATTTAATTATTTACATGTAAATTTAAAAAGTTAATTTAAAATGTTCTGCTTTTTTTATGATTATCTTGACCTAAAGTTAATACCATAAAAAAATAATTAAAATCAAAACTTAAAATTCATTCAAGTACCTAACTATTTTTTTTTTTTTTTTCATTAGTCCAAACATAAGTCCAGAATCATGTCAGGAAAACCAATGAAAGACAGAGATATAGGAAGTATATGGGAGTCTGGTGCATCTAAAAGAAAATAAAGACTGAAGCAAAGAAATCAAACCAAGTTGAGTTCCAGTATAATGAAATTTCTTAAGAAACCCCTTTCAACTGTTACTGCTCCAGAGTCCTCTAATGAAACTCTTGGCCAAGTTTCTTTGGTTTCTGAAGCAGAACCAGCTTCAAAGTTGAATGTATCAGCTGTGACCCAAGAATTTGAATGCAATAAAGATTTGGCAAGTTATAAAATTTGTGACTCAGTAAATCAAAAGCAAGCAATTCATTTGAGCGATTCATTTACAAACTTAGATGCAGGAAAATGGACATTTCCAATAATCTATTATTGGAAATGTCCTTTTTCCAATAGTTTTGAATTAACTCATAACTCTCTGCGTTATGACTTAATTAAAAACAGAGAGAAATCTGTTAAAAGTTACTCCAAAGATGCAAATAACAGATATTTTTTTAAATTTTATTTTATGCGAAAACTAATTAATGGCGAAACTCAACACCACAGATGGTTAGTTTACTCCTTATCAAAAGATATTTTATTGTTTTCCTTGTAGACTTATTTTGCATACACAGACTCGATGGTGAAAGAAGGATGTTGTGACTGGAATGTAAGTTGTGAGTCGAATACTGCATAGACATAAAAAAATTAAGGACACATGGAATGCATGGTTAAATAGATTGAATTTTATATAAGAATCGAAAACAGATAAATAATAGATAAGGAAAACGAGGTATTAATTAAAAAAATTTTAAAATATTGAAAAATTCATTGATATAATAAACTTTTTAGCCTCACACAATCTGGCATTTAGAGGTCATGGTGAATCACTTAACCTGGACAATAGCAGAAACAGTGGTAACTTTATAAACTTGTTTAAGTTGTTATCCAAATAAGATCTGATACTAAAGGAGCATTTGCAACGAATTAATGAAAAGCAAATTGCTCCAAATTATTTGAGTCACAACATTCTAAATGAATTAATTACATTGATGTCTGAAACAGTTATTGATGAGATTATACACAGAGTTAAACTAGCAAAATACTATGCCTTTTTGCTCGATTACACCAGAGATGCAAGTCATATTAAAAAATGTCAATAATATTAGGATTTTGTAATTCCTCAACTGAAGCAATAGAGGAACAGTTTGTTGGTTTTATTGTTGTTAGGGAAACTACAGGAGAGTATTTAGCAAACTCCATATTAGAAGAACTAGAGAGAAATAGATATACAAAATTTTCAAGAACAGGGATATGATTATGGCGTCAATAATAAAGGTGTCAGAACAAGAATACTCAAAATTAATCCAAGAGCATTCTTCACACCGTGTGGATGTCATAGCTGGAATTTACTTTTAATAGATGCAGCTCATTCTTCTACAACAGCTACAACTTTATTAATAAAATTTTATGTACTCTTTTCGAAGTCAAGCAAGCGTTGGGAACTTAAAAAAACTAAATTGAAACTACCACTAAAACCTCTATCAGGAACACAATGGGAGATTAGAATAGGAGCAGTAAAAGTTATACTGTTGCAATTTGATAATGTTATCAGGTTTGTAAATGACTTCAAAAATAAAACGGACGATTAGGAAATTCTAACCGACTGCAAAGTAGTTTTGAACAAAATGTTAACTTTCGAATTTGTTGTTGCTATACAAGTGTGGTATAGGATTTTATTACATGTAAATAATATAAGTAAACTATGCCAATCAATTCCAGTAAACTTAAAAGTCACTGTTGATACTTTAGGTTCATTTTGTACTTGGATTCAAGAATTCTGTGATACTGGATTTGAAAAAAAGCGTTGCAGATGCTCGATTGTTTGTGGAAAAAAGTGCTTATGAAATTGAGTCACTATTTAAAGAAAAAAGAACTGCACAAAAAAAAGCAAATGTTTGGTTATGAACACATGAATGAACCTATACAATCTCTTGAAACACAGTACAAAGTTGACACTGAATGTCTATTCAAAGCGTTTTAAGAATATTTTGACCGTTTTGGTTTTATTTACAATATCAATTATTTGAAATTTTTGCTCAGAGAGGATCTGCTCAAGCATTGTAATAACTTAGATACAATACTTCGGGAAGGTGAAAACAGCGACATAGATCCTTTCGAACTTTATGAAGAACTGCAAATTTTAAAATCCATTTTACTAAAAAAAATTAATGATGCAAAGCAACTTATAAAGTATATTTTCCTTTAGTCTTCAGTGTATTCTCCCTTAACTTCAATACATTTTCTCCAACAATTTTCCAATTCAGTTATACCATCTCTAAAATGGTTTTCTGGTAGCTCATCAAAATATTTGTTCACAGTCGCTATAACTTCTTCATTTGAGGAAAAATGCTTTCCACAGAGAAATTTTTTTAAATTTGGTAATAGATGGAAGTCCAAAGGGGATCAGAAGAGTAAGGCGGATGTTGGATCAATTCTTTTTTTTTTTTTTTTTTTTTTTGTTATTCACCTCCTCAAGGCCGAGAAGGCCACTACAGACGAGGAGGCTACTTAATAGTGGTTATAACCCTCTCTCAACTCTATAACTCCAAAACACGAACCTTGAGAAACAAGTGGGGATCGAACTCGGAACCTCTCGCTTATGAAGCGAGTGTTTTACCACTACACCGCTATTGCATGTCACTACCACTACACCACTACCGCATGTCACTACTGCACTACATCACTACCGCATTCATACTGTAAATTGTTCAATTTGGCCATTGTTTGAACACATTTGTGTGCTGGAACGTTGTCTTGATAGAAATGGATTTTTTTGTTCATTTTGGGGTTGAACAACCAGGCTCAGTTTACTCTGAGGTTTGTTGTAGTACACCCAGGTTTCAACCATAATAACGAAACAACTTAAAAAAACTTTTTTTTTTTTTTTGAAAAAGCTCTAAATGTTTCTTAGAAAACATTCAAGTCATTTTCTATCACAATTTAAGAAATGCAGCACCCATCATGCACAAAGCTTTCCGAGGCCTAGCACATCTTTCAAAATATAAAGTATTTGCTCAGTTGAGATATTCATGGTCTCAGAAATCTCACTCAAGGTTAACGTTTTTTCATTCATAACCATATCATGAATGGTATCAATCATTTTTTCAGAAGTCAAACTTTTTGGACGTCCTGAACAAGGATCATCTTCTAGGCTTGTGCGACCAAGTTTAAATTCAAATCCCCACTTACAGACCATTGTTTTAGATGGAGCAGCATCCCCTAACATATTCACCATTTCACTATAAATTTCCATTGCCTTCAAACCCTTTTTCACTAAAAATGTTATTTCCGCTTAATTGTTAATTTTTTCCAGGATTAAATTATGTTGACACATCTAACATCAAAGCGTCATAAAAATACATTGACAAGTCATAACAAGTTGAAATTTGCACATGCCTTCATTAGAAGCATGTGACCTTGAATGCAGTCAAAATTGTAGCCCTATCAACAAATTAAAGCCTTCACTCCACCAACTTTTCAACTAAACTAGTATGCTCCTCCTAAATTTTTCAATCTTAATTTTGTAATGAAACCTAATATATAAATATTAGGAACAAATAATTGTGAATACCTATATCAAAGTTAAGTGTAAAGTATATATGTTTAAAGTAGTTAACAATAACAGCTCTGATTTGTGTTTATAACTTTCAATAATATATAGTGCTCAATAAAAGTTTAAGCCCAGAGGTTCAGCGAAATCAAGGTTTGTTTTTATTTGTTTTGTTTTTTTTACATAAAGGGGCTTTGCAAAGGTAATTTTGCTGACGTCCACAATTTGCCTAGCGCCGCCGCTGTTCTTAACTGGAGGTTAAAGTAATAATAAATAAATAATGTTTAATTAGAAAGATTAATGGGCATCCCCAATATTAATTTATTGAACGATAAAAAAAAAATTTAAATTTTTATTTGTTTTGTTAAAAAAGCATAATATAAATATCTTTACTTGAATCAATTTTTGGATGTCCCCTAAGTAGTAGACCCACTAAGTAAGTAGTACACCAATATCTTAGTAGTACACCCTAAGTAAAATCTTAGTCAAAATCTTTTGTTTTGCAATGATCAGGAGATAAAATAAGCTGTAATAATTAGTACATGACAAAATGCATCAATTAACATGCATAAAATTATTTTTTTTTATGATTTATTTTTTTTATCTAGTTTGGTTTTGAACATTTAATTTGTATGTATTTGATTTTAAAAATACTTACTGTTGGACATCTTGCAACACTTACACCCTTAAATATATAAGGTTTATTATGATATTTAAAATGTCACTTAATTTAGATGTTAAAATGTTAGTCTAAAATGTCCCTCTAGCATAAAGTTAAAAATATCATAATGATGAAGCAAAATCAGGGCTGTTCTAAAGAGATTTTAAAGGAGGGGGGGGGGGGGGTGATGTGTCTGTTCTTTGTGAACTAAAGCCAAAATATTTTTTTCTACGAACTTATCTGAAAGAAAAAAAAAGATCCTCGTTTTCCAACATTTGCCGACTGCCTACTATAGATCTAATTTTGTCCAACTCCAGTGTCCAATTTACTGACTAAAAAAATTTGTTAGGGGGCTAGACAGCCCCCTCTGCCCCTTCTCAGGACTGTCTTAAGCAAAATTAATCTCTTTGAAAGGTATATTACAGTAAAATATAAATTCTTGCAAAGGTACGAGTCTTTTCAACCCTTGTAAAGTATTTAGTTTTCTTAAAAAATCAAGTTTTTGCATATTTCTGTGTTAATATTGCATATTGCTGGTGATAACTTTTTTCAAGATCAACTCAGATATTATCAAAAAAATTCTTCTTACATATCTAAGACACCACATCATAAGGTAATAAAGTGTTTTGTAGAACTTATTACTGACAAAATAGTTTTTTTTAATTCAAATTTTGGCACTGTTTCAGTTTCCTACCCCTATCATTTTATAATTGATTTCGATAGAGAATTTCATGCTGATTAAGAATTGTATAAAAACATTGACATTCATTAAAATATTTAACTGAATTTAAATAAAATTCAATAATGACATCAATAAAAACCGGGTTGCATAATTATAAAAACGATTTTCTAAACGATTGATTTCAAAAATAAGACTGATTAAAAGACATTTTAAAAAAGATGGCAATATTAGCATTTTTAGTATAATTTTTTAAACTTCAACATCAAAATAGAATACTTTCCTTAAATTTTTATATAGATTTGATGCGATTCTTAATCAGCATAAAATTCTCTATCATAACCATAATAGAGAATTTTATGCTGATTAAGAATCGCAAGAAATGCGATTCTTAATAAAATTCTCTATAAAATTCTAAAATTAAAATTCTATATCATAAAATAATAGGGGTAGGCAACAGAAGCATAAAATTCTCTATCATAAAATAATAGGGGTAGGCAACTGAAGCAGTGTCCAAATTTCAAACATTTTTTTATTTTTGCTGATGATGTCTCTGACAGTTAAAGTAAAAAACAACTATTATTAATTGTATGGCTTCTTAATTCAAAGTTCAATAAGAGAATTTATAATTTTTTACATTGCACAAATGGTGTTATTAGTTAAGGATTATTTTATATTTATAGAGGGTATTGATATAATATTGCTGGAGCAATCGGTGGTAACACTTAAGTTTTATCCTCTTGTATTTTAAATCTGCATGAAAAAGCTACATATGCTCTTTGCAACAGTCATAGGCTTAGTTTAGCAATTTGTGCCTCATACAAAGTGCAATATGTCAAGTATCTTTTGGCATGCATTAATGAGATAACTTTTACCTACCAGGCAACAAACATTAGAGGAACATATTTAAAGTGCTGTTCGGTTAGATATTAAAAATGCAATTAAAACATTTTTGAAGGACATGTAGTGTGGAAAAAGTTTACTTTTGTTTTGTATACTTTTTAAGAACATTGTGCTAATTCCTACAAAAATGTTTAAAGAAGTTCAATTTTTTTGTGACAATAGAAGGACTCTATCATATTTTTTAGTGACTTTTATGAAGCAGATTTGATATACTTATGGAACAAAGACTTTTAAAGATTAAAAGTCTCTTTTGACTACACTATAAGGATATATATATATATATATATATATATATATATATATATATATATATATATATATATATATATATATATATATATATACATATATATGTATATGAATATATATATATATATACATATATATATATATATATATATATATATTCATATATATGTATATATATATATATATATATATATATATATATATATTCATATACAAATATATGTATATATATATATATATATATATATATATATATATATATATATATATATATATAAATGCATGTGCACTTAGCTGCAAAAACTTGTCACTGAGTTATACTTAGATATTTACTCTGATTTTATTGGGTTTATAAACCTTGATTTATTTATTAGAGATGATGCAACAAAACCTGGTCATTGTTTGGGTCCAGCTTCAGAACGCTCAAATTTTTCTATTCCACAGCGTGAATTGACACCTTTTTCTGTTACTCTTCAAAATTTGTTAGTGCATCTTTCATTACTTGTTGCTACATTGACAGGTCATGTAGAGGTATTTATAATTTTTTCTGAAAATGTTTCTCTATTAGGAGTCCTATCAAATAAACTCTCATATATTCTAGGAAGTTGTTAAATTGGTGCATCCAGAAGTCAATTCCAATGCAATGCAAATGTTTCTAGTACAGCACATTGAAAAAGATCTTGCTTTATTGTCTAATAGAATAGCAAAGAATAATGATGATACAAACTCTGCAGTTCACGCATTTTTAAAACACCTGCTATTAAATGATGAACCAGGTATATCTTTGTTTTGCTATCAAGTCATATTATATATACCATTTCATATTATTTTTGTTTTAAAAAAAAAATTGATCTATTATTTGTGAAACAATCAGTTCATAAAATTACATTTATTAATATATCAACTATTTATACTTGTATATTACAAATTTTTGTCAATCAATTAGGTATTGTATACACTCAGCGAAATTTCTATAGTTCCATGTAATTATTGCAGATTTTATGCGGAAAGCATTTATGAAATTAACCACAAAAATTTTCTTAATTAGACCTATTGCAGACAAATGCATTTATGATAATTTTATGTCTTTCTAAAACAATTAAAACTAAATTTTCAAGAATGTTTTTGAAATTGATATTTATACTGGCGAAATTTCTATAGTTCCATTCATTTGTTTTGAACACTTAATAAGAGTTAATTTGTTTGTTTTATATGAATGTTTTGTGTATTTTTAGTTAAGATTTGTTATTTAATTATTACAATGCCACACAGAAAAAGTGTTAAATGAGGAAGAAAATACAAAAATTGTTGCTTACAAAGATATGGGTTTGACGAATCATCAAATTGCAAAAAAAATCAAAAGGTCTCATCATGCAATAAACAATTTTATAAACTTAGGTAAAAATTATTACAAATATCACTTTAAGGGCGGAAATAGAAAACAACCAAAACACAACATTCTTCTATTTTGCGTATGGCACCATCCGGAGAACGAACAGCAAGACAAATAAAGACTGAGCTTGAATAACCTGTGACTACAAGATGTGCCCAACAAATTTTGTTAAAATCAGAAGGATTCTAATGGAAAAGAATGATCACAAAACAAAAAAACAAAAAAGTGCAAGATTTAAGTTTGCGATGGACCACATGACATGGGATGCAGAATGGGAAAATGTTATTTTTTCCAACAAAAAAAAGTTTAATTTAGATGGGCCTGATGGTTTTAAGTATTATTGGCATGATTTGAAAAAAAGATAGCATAACTATTAGTTGTAACTTTGGAGGAGGGACAGTTATGGTGTGGGCTGCATTTTGTTTCCACGGCAAAATTCTAATATGTTTTATTATAACAAAAATGAATGCAAGAAATTATGTAGATCTTTTAAAAGAAGTTTTAATAGAGTTTAGTGAAAGTTTACCTACTAAGAACTGGATTTTCCATCAAGATAATGCGGCGATTTACACGGCACTAACTGAAAAAAAGTGGTTTCAGGAAAAAAGTATAAACATTTTGGTTTGGCCATCATGTTCACTTGATAAGTCTGTAGATTATTTATCATCTCTATATATAATAATGTATTTTTTTTACACATTCTGGATGAATAGTATTACAACAATTTTATTATTATAAATTCTACTGAATTCTAACAAGCCTCTAACAAGCTATTATTGATTTTATTATTTGTCTGCGACGTTTTTAATAAGTCTATAGATTATTTATCATCTCTGTATATAGTAATGTATTTTTATACACATTCTGAATGAATAATATTACAACAATTTTATTATTATAAATTCTATTGAATTCTAAAAGTGCTATGCAAATAATCAACAGGCACTCCTCGTTCGTCACTATATTCATTTTAACTTACCTGTTTGTAAACACTATTCCTTGTAGCACGATCAAAACTAACCTTGCATCTAAATGTTAGTTTAGATAATTCCTTAGCATTGTGATTAGCACAGTAGTTTGTATACTTCATAGCTTTTTAAGATTGTATTTTAGAAGATCTTTTAGCAATTTTTGAATAGCCATCTAATTGAATATTCTTGGGATAGCATTTAGCTTTTGAAAATCTCTTAGAAGCTGCTATGTTGATTTTGATATATTGCTATTAAAAATTAATCCTAAAGCTTCATCAGGTGAATATATCTAAACAGGCTTAATGGGGTTTGTATTTTAAATTTCAGAAATATTTGTGCAAGTATTGTGCTTAAACTCATTTCTTAGTTTCAATTTTGTTGCATGAAGTAATTTTTGGCTAAATAAAATATTAATATTTTATTTAGCCAAAAATTACTTATTCTTTTTGTTCTGTTTCAACTTTTTTCAAAAGAGCAACATGGTTTCCTAACTTCATTATCTGTTGATGTAGCATTTAATGTACAGTAGGTATGTTGAAAATCTTAAGCAAACCAATTTTTATTACTTCTCTCAAAATTAGTATTTAATATAGGCTCTTGTAGGTTCCCTAAATTATGTGACACTTTTTGTACAAAAAAAAGTATTAAATGTTAAAAATTTACCTCGTTATTTTAAAGCCAAATTATAAATGTATTATAAAGGCTGATCTTTACTTTGTATTTTTTTTGGTTTAGCCTTACGTAGCTTTACAGTTAAATAGTTTAAATATAAAAACTCATAAGCTCATAAAATTTTAAAAGTTACCGTTTACTATAGCTATGCATAAAAAATAAAATTTCACGTTTTTTTTCGTTTTTTTTTTTAATTTATTACATGAAACCAAAACTGATTTTTGTGGTTTTAAAAGATACTCAAAACTTAATTCTATACTCAAAACAATATTCAAAAATTTAAATGAGAGGATTACAAATATGTTTTATTATATGGTTTAGAATATAATAATTATTTATTTTTTAGGTTTTGTCCACTACCTGGCCCACTGTGCATGGTTTATAATTAAAAATTTTAAAATAATTTAGAAAGATAATTTTTGTAGTGCGCTAAATCTAGTTTATTGGTGAAAACCATATAATTGTCCAAGTGCAACAAATAATCTAATTATTTTAAAACTAAATAATACTGGATAATTACTTATCACTCGTAATACAACTGCCTTATTAGTCAAATCAGACATGATTGTATATATTATTTACATATTTCTCAGTTGCAAGTCTTTTAATGTTGATTCTTTATTTGAAGTTTTGACCTAATTGTTTGATTCTGTACTTCAAATCACTTTTTTTTAATCTATCGCCCAATCAAATCATTCTTTGTGCCTTTTTTACTTGAAACAATTCTGAGAATCAGGCCCAATACCTTTTTTAGTAACGTTCTTTTAATAAGTTCCCTGCTTATATTTTTTAAAAAGGACGCATGTTGATGACATCTCTTATCAACTCACAGGTTTTTACTTTTTTTTGCATGAAAATTTCAGAAACATCTACAAATTTGCCAAATTTCAAATTTCAATGTTGCTATGATTTTTATTATTTTAAAACTGTAGTAAGATTGATGTATCTAGAAGTAAATTCAGATACTATGCATCTGTTTGGAGTACAACACATTGAAAAAAACTTGCTCTATCGTCTAATAGAATAGCATTATCTGTAAATTTGCCTATTTAAATGTTGCTATGATTTTTTTATTTGAAAACTCTAATAGTTTGCTAATTTATGTTCTCTGGTTGATACTGATCAAAATTGTAATAATTAAAGTAATAATAAAATTGTAATAATAATTAAATTGTAATAATTTAATATAGTAAATATTAATATAGTGATTCAAATATTGTTTTGTAAAGTTAAAGTTGATTTTTTAGTTAAGCATGAGGATTGCTTCGTAAATTTATCATTATAGTTTTATGACTATAGTGGGCCATTTAAGAGCTGAATTCATTTTTTTAAATTAGTATATATATATATATAATATATATATATATATATATATATATATATATATATATATATATATATTTTATATTAAAAAATTTTTATGTTCATTTTTATATTCAGATAGCACAATGATGGCTGATTTAACAAGTGTGCAAATCAGAAATCAATATGAAAATGCTTTTGATCGAAAATTTATTCAACCTTTTTTCAATGTAACTTTTTTATTCTGTTTAATTGATAACTTCTCATTATTTGTTTTTCTGTATGGTTTTTCTTTTATTATTTATATATGTTGTAAATAAATTTTAATATAGTTATATATATAGATAGATTTTATGTAATAAAGGATTTTTATAAATTATTTCTTTCAGTCATTGGATGAAGAGCTTTTACAATTTAATAAATTTTTGATCGCTGAACGTTGTATAAATGACTCACCATTGATGAGGAAAATTTTTGAACTAGATGAAGAACTAGATTTGTCAAATATTACAGTTATGAATCCGCAACTTTGGCTTTACAAACAATCGGTATCAATTGAAAGTCTTAAAGTTGCAGTTCAACTAAGAGCAGGCGGTGGTGCTAAAGACATATCGATTCTTGTGAAGTTTTTAGAAAAGGTTTAACTTTTACCTTCTAAGTTTTAGATTAAGGTTTTAAATGTTTTAGATTTAAGAATAAGATTTACCTATAATTATCACAAGTTTAAAAAAATCAATTTTTAATAATTAGTTTTTTGTTTTTTTTAATTAGTTTAAAAATGTAAAAAATAATTTTATGATTTTCAACAGAACAATATGCTGAAAAAAAATTTTCTACATAATATATTAGCAAATTATTTAATTAAGTTTTTGTGTGAACTTACAAAAATATAGGCGATTATCCTATTTCTATGATCTAATGTTTGAAATGTTAATAAACAAAGTTTTTCATTTTAAATCCAAAAGTTTATATTCTGTTTATCAAAATCTTTATCACTCCATAAAATTCTCAAATTTGTGATCAATAGGACTCACAATTATGTAAAAACACTTAGGCAAGTAATTATCTATGTTAATTTGTCATACTAAATTGACATACTTGGAAGATAAGTTTAAGGAAAAACTTTTTATTTGTTGAAATAATAAGATGCATGTCATACATAATATATTTAATATTTGAAATACATTTAGTTAATATTCTGTTATAAAGTTTCACTTTTATAAATTTAACATATTATATTATATAGTCAGATATTCCATACAATTACATATGTTCCATACAGTTACATACAATTACAATATGTTCCATACATAATAAAAATATTTCATCTTGCATACAAAGATTTTGTCGAAGGATTTTACTACTATTATTACCTGATAATCTTTAAATCTTTTTGCTGATGATAAAAACTGAAAACTACAGTATTAAAAAGTGATGAATTTTTAGTCATCAGTTTTTAATCCTCTATTTTTCAGTTTTTGGTTGTCTTTTATATTGTACTTGACATTTTCTTACTCCTGATATCATTCTTTATCATTATATGTCTTTTATTCATTCTATTTTGAAATATTGAATGCATCTAGTTTTTTTTTTCTCATACACCCTCATACATTTTTACCTATAGTTTTGCTTTCTTGATACTGTTTGTAGTTTTTTTTAATGTCTTCTGTCAACCATGATTACAAAAAATATATTTTTATGTTTCTAATTAACACACATATAAAATTATTTTTTGACAGTTAAGTAAAATAGGTAAAAAAAAAAAAGACATTTCAATTAAAGACATTTTATTTAAAAAAAAAAATTCAAGAATTTTTTTTTAAATAAAATAGAACAATAAGAATTATTATAGTTCATATATTCCAGAAAAAATATACTTCAGATCGTTTCTGCTAATATTGTCAATACAAGACTTAAGCTTTGACTTATGCTGTTATGCTTGTAAATTGTAGTCCTGTGCTCTTTTTAGAAATGTTTGTTTCATCTAATCGATTTAGGCATTTAAGAGAGATTTCATCTTTCAAAGGCCTCAATTAACCTTGCTTTTGGAACATTTCTTGGGTTATTTTGTTTTTTAAGCAAATGCATCATATTTATTATTACATTTATATTTGTAATGTTATTACATTATATTTGTAATAACATTACAAATATAAATGTAAACATATTTGATTAGGTTTTAATGTAAATGTTCATTAATCATTTTGATCATTATAACAAAATTAAAAAATTAAATTATATATACTTAAATACTTTATGTATGTTATATGAAACTAAGTGTTACTTGAGTAAAATCTATCATTGTTTTTGATATGAATGTATTTTTCCATTTTTTATATGTAGATAATAAATAAATTGTTTGGACTAATACTCTCAGCCAAAGTGTTTAATAAAAATGTTTATTATTTTGATCCCTTAACACATCAACTTAACTCATTTACCATTCTTCAATCCATAGTGCATAGTCATATAAAGTTTATTATAAATATGGAAAAAATTAAGTAATGAATTTACTTATCATGAATAAAATACTTTTGATTTTAGGAATCAGTACTTAGCTTAATAAAAGAATTACCACTTATATTAGAACTCCAAAAAATTTTGCAACAAGAGTTTAACTACAAACTTGACAAGCAAACTGCTGTCGATAAAACTGTTAATGAGTTTTTAGCAGATATTAATCCAGGTATCATTAAATATTATTATTAAATAACTGCTTGTTTTTTTTTAGTACAACAAGTAGCAGTACTAGTGTACACAACATTCAAACTGTATTTGGTACTAAGTACTATGATAGCACAAAGTACAAAGTACTAAGTGAAAACAAAATAAGCTAATAAAAATTATACATATACTATTCAAACTGTACTTGGTACTAAGTACAAAGGTACAAAATAAGCTAATAAAAACAAACTAAATACTAATATCATTTTTAAATTCCAGTTGTTATTTTTTATTTTTAGTTTTGCTTCAATTTTTTTTTTTTTTTTTTTTTTCTAATTTAGAATTGAAAAAAAAAATTGATAAACTTACTAAATGCTTCATTAAAACATGGAATCAGGCTCATGGTCTTTTTACAGGTTAGTTTAACTTTTTAGGCATTTTCATTAAATGATAATTAACCAAGTAATTAATGAATTTTACTTTTAAAGTGAAGCTTGAGTTTTACACTTTAGATGGCCAATGAATTTTACTTTTTAAGTTGAATTTTACATTTTAAGTGGATGATGAATTTTACTTTTTATGTAGAAGTTGATTTTTATGATTTTGATTTTTAAATGGAAGATGAATTTTGATAAAATAGCATATATATCAAAGACATTAAAAGTATGAAAAAATGTTGTTTTGCATACTGTGTTTAACTAAACTCAAAATTGAACAAAGCTTTCTAAAAACTTATTTTGGTTTTTAAAAAGATTTTTTATATTTGAATTAATGAATTTTATAGTTTTTCTTTTTTTATGATTTTAAATTACTCCACCTCCTTTCAAAATATTGTATTGATTTGTGATAGCAAAAGAATTAAGAAAACATTGTTTGGTTAAATTGTCATTTTAAAAGAAACAATAGTTGTTAGTAGTTGTTATTAATTTTACCAGGTCAATGCATTTTTATTGTTTTAGCAGATTGATACATTCTTTATTGTTTTAGCATTCCTTTGAATGAAGCTTTTTGTTATTGCCTCTTGTAAATTCAGGTCTGCAAATATGACAAAACAAAAAGCGGCAAAACCATTAACACATTGTGAAATTTTTTTTGGCACCAAGAAATTAATAATTTTACATATAACAGTTTAAAAAAAAATTTTTAACTGTTATATGTAAAAACCAAAATCAGGTGATAAAGTTCCTGTTATAAAATTCTTTTTTAATGATGAGCCAGAACTACATCCTTGTTTTTAAGCAAGGTTTGGGTGTCTACTGGATCTGTAGGTTCATTTATTTTCTCTAGAGAAGTGCTAATCTACACAATCTGTACTCTCATTACAGAAACAACAAGGATACTTTGAAGTATGGTTTTGAAGTCCTTAAATCAAGCAAATTTGCATAAACTGAATGTTTATAATGTCAATACTTTTAAAAAAGACTGTACTGTTATCATAGTTTTCCTAAATATTTGGGACTATTCCTAAAAGTAATGTCTGATCAACGAACATTTCTTTTTTCAGTTTAGGACAAATGCCCTGATAATTGGATCTCTTGATGATATCACTACTAAAGAAACTTGCCACATCAAATGGACCAAAACATAGGGCTTTTAGTATAGTAATCAGACTCTGTTGCAAGTGTTGCATATCCCAGTCACAAATGATTGATTATCATTATTATAATTTAGTAAAACTAATGCTTTCATAAGTATAAAAGCTGTTACTATAAGTGTTCTGTTTGCTTCTTGATAGCATACACAGCATTTATGATGAGAAATATTGTCTAAATGACCAATTATATATTAAAAAACAACGTTTTTAATGTTATAATTGATAAACAATTACTTTTACAATTGGAAACTTAAATCTAATATATTTTTAGCCAAAAATCAAAATTTATGCTTTTGTCAATAAGACCATTTTTTAACACCTTAAAAAATGGCCTTAATGAATTTTATTCTGAATGTCAAATATGATATGTTTTATATTATATTTATAACATATATAATATACTAAATTGATGTAAACATGGTGTCTATATTAAACTAATAGTTTTTGATACTTTTAATTCTAAATGTATCTGTATAACGTGTTTTTTTTTCGTTTTTTTTTTTTTTTTTTTTTCAATCTTGTCAATCCTTTCAATCCACTATCTATTCTTTTGAAGATAGAGTTGAGGTATTAGAGTTGATATTTATACTTTGTATTGAAAATGGATTCCTAAAATTTGTTAATTTGAGGTTGCTTTACAAGATCCCCACCACGTCCCTGGTAGTACCGCGCTCAACTCGTTTCTCCGCGCAGCGGCTTTGTTCGTCAAGGTTCTTGTTTCGTAGTTATAGAGTTGAGAGAGGGTTATAGCCACAAATAAGTAGCCTCCTCGTCTGTAGTGGCCTTCTTGGCCTTGAGGAGGTGAATTAAAATAAAAAAACAAAAAAAAAAAAAAAAAGGTGGAAACTTTTAATAATCAGTCTTTCCTTTTTTTGTGCAGTTTACTTTTTATCAAAGGTGAATAATTTCTTCATAATTTGTGCCAAACATATGGCAAGTGAATGCTTTCAGCTCATAAACATAATAATGAAACTAAGTAGACAAAACTTTAACAATATTTAATGGCAATTTATTACTTGATAATATTTCAATTTTATCATTGTCAATATTACAATGCGCAGAAATAGTTCTTTTTATCAATCCATTTAGTACAAAGACATTTCATATTTTTTTCTGGATCAATAAATTTAATGCAATTTCAGTAAATTCTTCTGTAATAGTTTTGCTTACATCATCACGAGTCTCTTATTTCTTTTATTTATTATAGACTTAATTAACAAGCTCTGTTTAACAAGCTTTCTTAAGGCATCTTCAACTTTTAAAGAACTATCAAATATATATAAATTTCTTTCAATCAAAATTAATTACTGTTATGTGATGTGCATCTTGATTTGATGAGATAAGTCCTTTTTTACCTTTAATAGGTTATATTGCTACAACTCTTTCTAAATTATCTTGTATGCGATCACTTTCTGTTCATTATTCTGGTAAGATTTTTTTTACAAATGAAATAATATCTTCAAATTCTATGCTTCAAATATTATTGTATTATTGCTAAAATTGGCACTCACCTAACAAGTTGTGTCTTTAGTTTCTTTCAATTGGTTTCATCTAACAAGTTGTGCATTTTTTTTTTTTTTCAATTGGTTTAAATTTTTATTACATCTTTCAATATATGGCTCAGAAATTGCTTACATTGTGATTAAAATACTTTTTGTCTCAAAGATTTTAAATTTTATTTGAACTATTTTTTTCATAAAACATACTAGATAAAACAACAATTTTTTTAAAAGTATTTAAAAGTAATATTATAATAAGTAACTTTAGTTTTATTGTTTTGTTGGTAAATATTTTGGTTATGTGGTTATGTCTATTTGATATGTTTTGATATCAGATCTTTTAATAAATTATTTTAATAAGTCAGAATACCTTTTTATAGTGTTTTTTATTTGGTTCCAATCTTTTTTCTCTCTCTAATAATAATAATAAAAAAGACAGTAGAACAATTAGTAAAAAGTTATTAACAAAAAAAAATCAATTATAAAGATAATTGATTTTTTTTTGTTAATAACTTTTTACTAATTGTTCTACTGTCTTTTTTATTATTATTATTAGAGAGAGAAAAAAGATTGGAACCAAATTTGTCTTCAATTAAACTTGACAACAAGTGTAGTTTGGCATACTTTATTGCTGCACGTTCTGATCATGGGTTGTGTGCTTTGATGCTGATTGATTTTCTTGCTTTCCAGCAAAATGAATTTTTAGAAGAATGTCATTTGTTGAACCGTGCATATGTTTTTCAACATGTGCCTATATTACAGTTAAAAGAAACAGATATAATAAATTATGAACAGAAACGTGACCTTCTTCCATTAGTGCTTTTAAACTGTGATTATTCTCTTGGTGTTGAAAAACCTCCAAAAATTGAGCATAACTTAGAAACAATTCAAAGACGTCTTTTTGAAAATGTTATTTTTGGTAAAGCATTGATTGACAGGGATTTAGTACCATTCTTTTACAGAGGAGATATCAAAAGTTTAAACTTTCCTTTATTGAGGAGTTCTATTCAACAGGTATGCATTATTAAATAAATGATATTTACCAAGCAACTTTTATTTTTTTTCTATTCTATAAACATTCAGGTATCAAGAAGTCAGAGTTTGACTTATTAACTTTGGTTTTAAGATTGAGCTTTTTTGAGTTGAATTAAATTTTTAAATTTATTAATAAAATATGTAAATTCAGTGATATATCAATAAAATATGTAATACCTGTAAATTTGGTCAAAAAGCTCATATATAAAAGACCAGGGTTATAGTAAAAAACATAAAGCAACAATGTTAGTATTAAAATTCATTTCATAAACAAAAAAATGAGCAGTAAGTAAACATCTAACAATTAATTAATTGCAGTAAAATCAACACTTAAAAAACTTTGTCAACACTTAAAGAACTTTATTATCTCATTTAAAATGTTTGAAAAATATACTCTTAATAAAATTAGAAAAAAAAAATTTTATAACTTATTCTTGAAAGGCGTCATTTTTGACATGAAATAAAAATAATTTGATACTATTTTGATAAGTTTTGATAATTTTAAAACAAGTTTGCTTTTGATATTAAAATGTTTATATTACAAAAACAAACTAGTTTTTTTTTTTTTATTTCACCACCAAGAAAAGTTTAGAGCCAGATTCAGTTTTGTTGCTGCAATTAAGAATTAATTAAAAATCAAAATTTACTGAAATTTATCAAATTATTTTACAGATTAAATTATCAATTTACTGTTAAACTAATGATTCAACACACAACTATGGCACTTAAGTTGTTTAATACTAGTGTTTCCTTTTTTATTTCTCCACTTTTTTTTTTCTTCCATTATTAAAGTCATTAATACGAACTTTTTTATAGATTGCCATTCCTTATTCGGAACAAAAAAGAATGTTAGATGAAATGATTAATATAGCAGATGTATCTATTGCTTTGCGAGCTGTGGAAACAGTTATTGGTATAATAACATCTACAGGTGGTGATTCTAACATGTATTTAAGAGATTATCTAACCAATATTCTTCGCATGAATGAACAGGATTACATAGTTAGCGGGAAAGTTCGTATTTTTTTAATTTATATTTTTATTTAGTTGTATTTTTTTAAGTTAACTTAAAAGTTTTTATTTTCAGTTTGTTATATATATATATATATATATATATATATATATATATATATATATATATATATATATATATATGTATATATATATATATATATATATATATATATATATATATATATACATATACATATACATATACATATACATATACATATACATATACATATACATATACATATATATATATATATATATATATATATATATATATATATATATATATATATATATATATATATATATATATATATATATATATATATATATATATATATATATATATATATATATATATATATATATATATGTATATATATATATATATATATATATATATATATATATATATATGCGGTAGTGGTGTAGTGGTAGAGCACTCGCTTCATAAACGAGTGGTTTCGAGTTCGATCCCCACCACGTCCCTGGTAGTACCGCACTCAACTCGTTTCTCCGCGCAGCGGCCTTGTTCGTCAAGGTTCGTGTTTCGGAGTTATAGAGTTGAGAGAGGGTTATAGCCACAAATAAGTAGCCTCCTCGTCTGTAGTGGCCTTCTCGGCCTTGAGGAGGTGAATTAAAATAAAAAAAAAAAAAAAATATATATATATATATATATATATATATATATATATATATATATATATATATATATATATATATATATGTATATATATATATATATATATATATATATATATATATATATATATATATATATATATATATATATATATATATATATAACGTATTCTAAGTAAAAAATATTTTTAAGATGCATGACTATATACGGTTGTCTCACTTGTACTCTGTATGGCTCATGTTAACTGTTGAACAAGCATGTAGAATATATGCAAGTAAACAGGTATTTTTATTAATATATTTTTTTATTATTTCTTTTTTTGTTGCACTTGGTTATTGTTATTCTTTTATTTCTCAGGTTCCATTTCATGTAAAAGTATATTTTATGACTGAGGACCTTGAAAAGGAAGTGGTTGAAAAAATGGAAAAAACGCTGTATCATGTTGACAGAAAGGAACTGTTAAATCTAATTACGGAGTACATTGTTTTGGAGCTGCCATTAAGAAATGAAGCTGATATTTCTTTAACGTAGGGTTTTTATTTATTTTTAATATTTATAATTTTATCGAGTTTCACTTTAGCTCATTTTAATATTAAAAATAGTTTAAAATCGAAACCAAAAAAAACATAAAATAAAAAGTTTTACAAAAAAGTTTTTTGTCCATTTATGCAGTAGAAAATGGTTTATTCACCAGGGTTTCTCTAGTAACTCTACCTGCTTTTTAGCTATTTTCCTCCGGGTTGATTTAAAGCTCCCTCAATATTCTATTTGTGAAATAATTTTTAAAAGCAGCTTTTCCTATCTTTTGTAAAGATGGTAAAAATAATTTAGGCATAAAACCAGTCACTTGTTGTAAGATCAAAAGGTTGTGGTCCGTGAAATTCTTTAGTACCATGACTATAAGTAGGTTATAGTTATTCCTTCTATTAGTCATGAAACAAATTTTGATGGGGTTTGATCAAACTTGTATTGAGACATGTTTATTGTTTTCACATGATCTTATAACTCCCAAAAATCTTTTGCTTGTGCTTATTTAATATTTTTATATTAAATTCAACTTTTTATACTACATTAAATAATTATAATAATAATTAAAATTCACTTTTTTATATTACATTAAATATTCAACTTTTTATTATATTACATTAAATATTCAACTTTTTATTACAATTTATATTACATTAAATATTTCAACAGCTGAAAAGTTGAAGTTTAGAAAAACATATCAATTTAACAGTATCATCGGAGAACGTATATTTTAGACAACTCCTTTAGAAGGTCTGTCAAAAACGCTAAACGAGCATTATTGAAACCTGAGCTTAAGCATAAACCTGAGCTTAAGCATAAAATTTATTTTATTGAAAATTATACCCTTACCCTAAGAGTTACGTTTGGTTAGGGTATGGCTTTCAGTAAAACTTTATTTAAGTAATATAAAATAAATTCAAATAAAGGTATGTCACTCACAATGCCATGTGATTCTAATGATTTACTTTAAACTAGACCCCATTTAATTTGTGTTTTATTGTGTTTTCTTATTAAATTGGTTTTTCATTTTATCTTATTAAAATTGGTTTTTCATTTTATCATTTTATTTTTTTTAGTTTAAGTGAAGCGTTGCAATTGTATAAAGATAAACAAGGAACAATAATAACAACTTCTTTAGAATCTATTAGTGATGACTTTTTATTAAAACATATTTATCTATTTTGGAAGATAGTTGCTTCTCACGCATAGCATTTTAATGATTAGAACATTTTTGATAGAATTTTCTAAATTTTTTTAACTTTAAGTTTTTGCATATTTTATAGTTATTTTATGTGTGTGTTTGTGTTTCTGTTAATTAATTAATTTTTAATTTTATCGTTTTCATTTTATTTAACTTTATCATAATCATTGACATAGGTAATTTTATTTTTTAAATTTTTTTAAAAATGTTGTAATATTTTTTGATTTTCTTAGTTAATTTTTTTAATGTTATCATAGTCATTTTTTTTGTCATATATTATTGTTAGTTTTAAGTGATTTGCATAATGAACTTGTAAAATAAAAAATTAACTTAATAAGTAAATATGGTATTATTTTTATTGCCATTGAAGGGTTATCCAACAAGCGCACGAGGCGCTTGCTCGTGGCCTAAAATAAAATTAAAACTTGTATGTTGTTTATAAATGAATTAAACCTAATTCAAAACCAATGTATTTTGCAATGTTTATTCGCTCTAAAGCCTTTTCTTAAGAACTTTGGGAAAACTTTCTTAAAATGAAGTTTTCCTAAAGTTCTCGGGAGAAAATAGTCATTTTTTATTACATGATTGAATAACAAAATCAAAATTGTTTTTTTGACAAAAATTTTAATAAGTTCTTTAATGTCCGTTTTTGCAGCTTTTTTAAGCTCAACAAATAATAATTCAAGATTATCTAATCTAGTTAGCCCTATAGTATTCCTTTTAAAATCTTTTGCTACACTGGTGTAACAAAAAATAAAAATTTTCTTGCAATCATAAATTTTTTCCACATTGGTAGCACATGTGAAACGTAAAAAAGTGCAGCAATATTTGTCGTGGTGCTTTTAAAATATCACTTTAAATTATCATATTAAAAAATTAATATTACTAATTCAAAAATCAGCATTAATAATAGCATTTTATATTACAAACGCATAATAAAACAAATTATTAAACATAAATCATGCGAGCATTTTTTTGACCAAAACGTTTTTCGATGACTTCCATTTCCTTTTGCAGTCGTTCACAATGTTTGTCTGAAAAATTCCTAGATAATGTTCACATTTATCTTTATGCTTAAACAGTAGGTGCATTTTATTGCTTATAGTTGGACAACTCATAGATTGAAGTTAGGCATTAGTAAGTCTACTTTTTCTTTCCAGTCTTCTTTTACATTTTTTTCAAAACCACAATTATAACACAGTTAATAAATATTAAAAAAATATATAACAATATGAATGCTTAATGTAACTCAATTGAACTCTTTTATGGCCCACATTAATCAATTATTAAAAAAAAAAATCATTTCTTAAAGAATTAATTGATCTCAAGGATCCCAATTCATGCTACTATCCTTAAAAAGTACCATGTTTTATACAAAGTTACAATACAAAAAACAAAGTTTTTTCTTATTTAACCTTTTTTGTTGTTGTTGTTGTTGTTGTTGTCTTATAAATAACTACAAATAAAATTAAAAATAAATTAATATGACATTAATAATTGGAATAAAAGGGCAATAAAGGACCCTACAATGGTACACCAATAACTCCATATTGCATTTCATTATCATATTGCTTGTTATCAAATTTTGCAGGTAGCATTCAAGTTTGGTATTTACAAAATGTATCAAATAGATTGAAAAAAAGCCTTATAAAAAATTCTATGGTATTTTTTATAATGTGCGTAAAGTTTATGTTAAAAAATTAACTATTAAAAACTGCCTCTGTCTTTGCTGATTAATGCTGATTTTAGTACATTTAATTGACACTTGTGTATTAAACATTTTTCAAAATTTCAATCAATTGGATTCGTAGAACTTGATATATGTTTGAAATTATGAAAATGAAGATTCAGAGAAAACGATTGTTAAAGAATATCTATAAAAATAGTGTATTTAGGTTTTACAAAACTAAGTAAAATAGCTCCAGAAAATTCTCTTGCTCTCCTTCTCTTTGTCAGAGAAACCTTTTTTTATATCGTAAACCTTTAACTTTGAATAGCGGGGTAACTTTGAATACAAATCTATATTTTTTTAAAGTTGTAGTTATGGCAAGATTATATAATACTGTTTAAACCTCAAACATTAAAGTATTAAAAATAGTTTATATTTTGATTAATTAAAGTTTTACTTTGTTTATTGGTTGCTATTGTTCCTTAAAAAATGAATTAAATATACGGATATTTTTCTCAAAAAAATTAGTCAGAATACTTTGTACACTGCCTTAGCTAGTGCAGCAGATTGTTGTCTAAGTTGCATAATTTTTGTTTATAAATTTATTAATCATATAAAATCTGAAGAAGTTTGTTTGGCTACTATAGTTATGCTCCATTACTATAGCATAACATACTTATTTGTATACATTTTATTGCATACGGGGTATGCAATATTAATGCAATATTAATGTATGTATGTATGCAATATTGTGCAATATTGTGCAATATTGTGTAATATGTGCAATATTGTGTATATGTAAATACAATAAAATACAATAAAATACAATATATGTAATATGTGCAATATTGTGCAATATGTATGCAATATTAATGCAAAATTAAACTTTGAATAACGTTTAAAGTTACTCCATTGCAAAAATAGTTAGAAACATAAAATAACTTAAACAACTTTTGTCATACATGTTTTTTATGTAATATATTAAGTATCATGTGTATAAACAGTTTTTTGTATATGTTGGACCAAATTTAGCTAAACTTATTCCTACTATGATATATCCAATAAATGATTACGCTTTTCCATTAATTTCTAAATTAAATACATTTGAAATAACTTTTTCAGAACTTGAAAATGCATTTAAAATGCTGAAAACTAACGAAGCAGTTGGTCTTGATGACATAAATTGTAACATAGCATAGATTCATACGACAATATGAAGTATATTCTTTTCAAAGTTTTCAAAGGTTCAATTAATCAAGGAATTTTTCCAGACCAATTGAAAATTGGTAAAATTACACCAGTATTTAAAGGTGGTGAACCCTCAAATGTCAGTAATTATTGTCAAATATCTGTCGTCTCTGTTTTTTCAAAAACTTTAGAGCGAACTTTGTTTAACTAAATATACAATCATCTGACTGTTAATAATATACTTTACATAAACCAATACGGCTTCAAGAGAAACAACTCTACAGAACATGCAACAACTCATCTCACTAGAAGCATAATTGAATCATTTTAAAAATCAGATTTTACTTTAGGCGTTTTTATCTAAGGCATTTGACACAATTGACTATAAAATACTTTTTACAAAACTTGAATATTATGGTATTACAGGTAAAGTTTTAATGTTACTTAAAAGTTACCAAAAAAATTGCAAACAATATGTCCACGTCGAAGGATCTTCTTTACCTTACTTTCTAAATATAATCTGTGGAGTTCCACAAGGATCTATACTAGAACTCCTATTATTTCTAATTTATGTAAATGATCTCTGTAAAGCCTCAAAATTAACAACAATTATGTTTGCTGATAATACTTAGCCGGCACAAGTCGTCTATTAGACGTCTATTTCGCTACTCATTTGTCTTTAGACGTCTTAGACAGTTTTGAGATATCTAAAAAACGTCTTAAATAAAGATGTCTCTCTAGTAGTCGTCTTGAAGATGTTTTAATTTTTGTGTCTTAAAAAAATCACGTTTACTACGTCTTCTAGACGTCTAAAATTTAGACGTCATGAAGTAAATTATATCCATTCATTATTTCAGTCAATTTGAACAAACATGAAAGAAACGGCACCCATGAATTTTGTATGGAAAAATCAGAAGTAATATTATGATCTAATCAGTTACAATTAAATAAGAGTGTAATGGAGGTCGATTAGGTTATATTCTAAACTAAGTAAAATTTTTATCATGCAAAATTTTTCGTGTATTTTTTTTTTATATGCTTCAGAATAGATTATAATTAATAATATTATATTAATAATATATTACGTAATAATAGAACCTATAATATTCGGCTATATTAATAGACTATACAAATATTCACTCATGATGATGTTAATATAGCCTATCATGAAATGATAAGTGTTTTAGGTATATACCTAAAACATTTATCATTTCAATATATCAAATAGTTAATCGTGAATCATATGATTTTTTTTTTTTCTTTTTCCCGGAAAATATTTTTTTCTTTTTCCCGGAAAATCCTTTTGCAAAAGGATTTTCCGGGAAAAAGAATTCCACCTAGTGATAATTGGCTATCTTTTCCAATTTTAAAAATAAAGTTGACACATGGTTAGTTACTTAAATTTATTAATTTGATATTTACTTTCTAATTCAAACATTGCATCATCATATAAGGGCCAGCTTAGCTATTTTGTAGATCTGGGGAAAACACAATCTTAATTTTATGGAGAATTAATTAGACAAAACTATAAATCTATTTAATTTGTTAATTGTTTTTAGTTTTAAATATGTTTTTTAATAGGTTTAAAACAATTGTTTTTTGTCTTTAAGATTCAAAGGTTTTTAAGGTTAAGAGATCAGATGTGACAGTCCCCTTTTTTTTTCTCCTCATGGGCCATAGCAAATTCCACATCTGCACTGTAGATAATCTTGTCCTGCATAACATGTTTAAACCTTGAACATGTATTACACATGTTATGATGAGGTCTAATACATTTTTTAGTTGTATTAATTTAATAGTTTATAAATATTTTATAGAGGATAAAACTGAGTGCATGACATGTGAGTATACAAGTCAGGATAAAGGAATAAAGGAAAAAGAAAAAAACATCAATGAGATTGAGTTTCCAGAAGTTGGAATTGATTTACCGGTGTTTCATGATTTTAAGCGCTTAGGAAATACTTCACACCGATACTTCATACTTAATACTTCATACTTAATACTTAATACTTCACACCGAAAGCGAAAAACACGTTCAATAAGTGATAGTGATGATTGTGACGACTCAACATTGGAATCTCCAATTTTAAGAAAGGCTTCAAAACAAAAAAGTGCTATCATAAATGTTAATTGTTTAATTATTAAATGTAATACTAATTTCTAAATTGACTCATAGATTACATAGATATGCATAGACATAGACTACATAGATATAGGGAGTTTAAATTATTTTCAGAAAAAGCCAGAGAAAACCTTTTGAATTTTTTCCATTTCAGCAGAATTATTTCCTTTGGATGAGTTAATTCAAGCTCCGAGCATAACATATCCAATATCAAATGATAGTAAGTTTGTGTTATTCAATTATTTAAAAATTTTAAACATCAATTGAATTAGAAAGTTGATTTATTTTATGTTTTATTTAATTTATTTATTGCGAGAGAAATTGATAAAATTAAATAGTAGGGAGCTCAATTTATTTGGTATTCCAAATAAATTGAATAAATATTCCAAAATCCAAATTTTAATACTAAATAAGTTGAGAATATTGTTTGAAATGTGTCTAAATATTTTGAACTTTATTATAATTTTTAATGATAAATAGAAAAAGAACAAAAAGAACAAATTTTTTTTCAGGTTTTCAACAACAAGTTCTTGCATTTCAAGAAAAAGTTGTTAAATGGATGAGAGATATATCAAATAATTTATCTTTACCGACAACTTCAATTGCTCAATTCAATATATATATATATATATATATATATATATATATATATATATATATATATATATATATATATATATAATATATATATATATATATATATATATATATATATATATATATATATATATATATATATATAAATATAATTGTTCTTATTGTAATTATTTTTAATGCTATTATTATTTTAAGAGTGCCTGCAAATTTGAATGACTGGTGAGAAGACTCAACAGGTTTTTTTACTTACAACAGAGTGTTAACATAAAAAATATTATTACTGATAAAAATTTTTTTTATTCTTCTTCTTATTGTAATTATTTTTAATGTTATTATTTTAAGAGTGCCAGCGAATTTGAATGCCTGGTGGGAAGACTCAACAGGTTTTTTTACTTACAACAGAGTGTTAACATAAAAAGTATTTTAGTTGCTAGCAGGGGAACCGGGAAATTTTTTTTATAGTTCTTAAAAGAGTTTTTTGTCTTTTAGAAATTTTCTTGGCCTACTTATCCTGTTTGGCCTTGGGCAAATGTGGACTGTGGTTACATCCCATCTGCACTGTGGGTAAATTTTATATTTTGGTTATTAATTATCTTAAACGTAAACAAACATAAAATATGACTTGTTAAGTATAACCCGACTGGCACAAGTTGTACAAGAAGGAAAGGTACACAACAGAAGAAAAAAAGGTAGACAAGAAAATTAGAAGGTTATTTATTGCGAGAGAAATTGATAAAGTTAAATAGTAGGGAGCTCAATTTATTTGGTATTTAATGGTATATACTAAATTTGAATATAAAATAAGTTGAGAATATTGTATGAACTGTCTCAAAATCGTTTGAATAATATAATTTTTAATAATAAAAAGTACATTAAATAGTTATGTTTTTTAGGTTTTCAACAACAAGTTCATGGCATTCCAAAAAATTTGTTAAATGGATGAGCGATATATCCAACAATTTGTCTTTACCAACAACTTGAAATTCTCAACAACCTCCATTATCTTTATTTGACATTAAGTGTATAAAATAGAAAGAGAAGTTTATCCTGTTTAAAGAAAATATGAAAATGGATTTATTACTTAAACAAAAAGTAAAATTAGTTAATATGCTGGTATTATTATTTGTATCAAATAATGGTATTTGCTTATATTTAATTTATTTTATATAATTATATATGTGTGTGTGTTAAGGCTCTTAGATACTGGTAGTTTAATGTGACTTTTACTTCTTAGATTGTAAAACTAAAGGGCTTGATTACAAAGATACGATTAAGTACATAATGAAAAGGTTTGCCATGCGTGAAATAAAGAGTACTGAAAGTCGAAATAAGTTAGCTTTTGGGTTAGCTGAGAATTACAAAACAGTATATGAAATAGTGACGTTTAAGTTCCCGAAAATGACGAAAAATGAGTTTTATACACAAATTTGTTTAATGTTTTATTGAAGATATATAATCTCTTTTATGTTTTGGTTATGAATTATCTTAAACGTATAAAAATAACTCAAATATAATAAACTATAACTTTAAATATAATTTAAGTGTCGAATATATTGAGTGAGCATCTTTTAGACGTCTTAGCAAGACGTCTTAAAGGTGTTAACAAATAGACGTCTCAAGACATTCTTTAGACGCTCAGGCGAGTTTTCAATCAGACGTCTTAGAGACATCTAATACTAGACCTCTTATAAACGTCAAACACAGTACGTCTTACAGACGTCTATACGATACGTCTAAAATGTGTTCAAATGTGTTAACAGGTAGACGTCTTTAGACGTACTTGAGACGCTGACTTAAGTTACCGTTAGACGTCTTTGTGCCGGCTGGGTACTAACCTTTTCTTATGATGTAATAACATCAATAAACTTTTTAATGATATGAATATTGAGTTAACAAAAACCTCTAATTGATTCAAATCAAACAAACTTTCGCTCAATATTGAAAAGACTAAATGGACTCTATTCTATTCAACATTTAAAAAACGTTTACTTTCAAGTGATATGACTTTATATTGTTAATATTCAAATAAAAAGAGTAGCGTCTACAAACCTTTTAGGTATTATTATAGATGAAAATCTATCTTGGAAAAATCATATCAGAAACTTATGTATTAAAGTTGCAAAAAGTATTGGAGTCTTTTATAAAGTAAGAAGTGTTTTGAATAAATATCTACTAATTCAACTTTATTACTCTTTTATACATTGTCACATTAATTATGCTAATATTGCAAGCAGAAGCACAATGCACGATTTATAAATTTCAAAGATCGTCTTTCTCACTGAAAGCCTCTCTTAATTAATACGAATATTCTTAATATATATCAAGTAAATGTTTTTAATGTTCTTTGTTTTATGTTCAAGTGTAAAACCAACTCTTCTCCATCCCCTTTCTTTGATTTATATTCTTTAAAAGAAAAAAATATTTAAAAAAAATTAAACAACTTATTATCCAAACTAACTTTGGTAAAACCTCTATTTCATTTCGCGGAGCTTTCTTATGGAACAATATTGTGTTAAAAAATTTGATTTTTCTCATGAGTCGAGTTATTTTTTATTTAAGAGAAAACTTAAAGAAGTAATTTTTTCAATTGATAATATACTTACATATTTTTAAATTATACTTAGCTCTTAAATACCTAAATATTGATTTATTTTATTCAACATTAATTAAAATTTACTATTTATTTACATTTATTTGAATATAATTGATGGTTACATTGGCTACGATATTTGGTTTACATAAATTTTATTTTATTTACGCTATTATACAGAACGACTTTAAATGTAAATATAATTGCTGCACTAGTTTTTGATCTTTATTTAAACTTGTATTATTAACCATGTATATATATTTCTTATTTTGTATATGTACTACGAACTCTCTAAATTGTAAAAAAAAAAAAGTATATGTATGTATATGTGTGCGTATGTATGTGTATGTATATGTGTATATATATATATGTGTTTATGTGTATATGGATATATATACATATGTGTATGTGTGTATATGTATGTATATGTGTGTATGCATGCATGTATGTATGCATGAATTTACGTATGCATGTATGTATACATGTGGGTATAAATGTATGTATGTATGTATATATCTGGATATGTGTACGTGTATATGTGTGTATGTGTATATATGTGTGCGTTTGTATGTAAATATGCATACTCATAAACTTTTATACCAGAAGAGTAGGATTGTACAGATGTATCACAAAAGAGTTAACATTATTAAAGACGAAGAAAGAACATAAAATTACATTACAAGTATTGGATCAATATTTATCAATACAATAAAGATCAATACTATAAAACGAAAAAAGTAACATCCTAATCATTTATACTTTATTGTTGACCTTGTACATATACTTTAAAGGAAAAAAAAACATGCAACTCATGGAGAAACTAGTCGTAGATATAGAAAATAAAGTAGAAAAACTCAATTGAAATATCAAATAATAATCATTGAATGAAGATTACTTGACCATATATTTTGGTTTTGAGAACTTGAAATTTATCTAAAAATTACAGATAAAAGTTGCATGAGACAGTCGCTTGGAATGCTATGTAATTTCGTTGCAAGCATTTTTAAGCAAGTAACTTAATCTATAACGAATTCTTATAAAAAAAAAGGTTTTCCAAACTCGACAATATTGCAAGACACCCAACTCGTCAGTATGCCATCACAGGTCGTCATTTTTATAAAACAAGCTTTGTCTGCCTTATTTAAAAAATAAAATTAAAGTAAGTATTCCTCTAAATACACAAAACTTGAATATAAAATGCATCAAAATTCTCTTTTTGCACAGTCAATAATAAAATCACAATCTTAAATATATGAAGGGAATAAAACTACTACAGTACATCCCAAAATCAATTTTTGCTAATTATAAAAACAATATTTGTGCACAAAGGACCTATTTTCACCAAAGCTCGTGTAAAGTCAGTATAGTCATGTAAATCTAATCACTTTTTTACCTAAACCAATTTTTATAGAAATATGACCGGTATGCCATCATAGGCGTCTTTCCCCTAAATGTGTGTATACGACATATTCATATGTGTGTGTGTGTTTGTGTGTGTGTGTGTGAATGTGTATGCATATATATATATATATATATATATATATATATATATATATATATATATATATATATATATATATATATATATATATATATATATATATATATATATATATATATATATATATATATATATATATATGTATATATATATATATATATATATGTATATATATATATATATATATATATATATATATATGGGAAGTGGGGGCATAACCTCATATATATATATATATATATATATATATATATATATATATATATATATATATATATATATATATATATATATATATATATATATATATATATATATATATATATATATATGCATATATATATATATATATATATATATATATATATATATATATAAATATATATATATTTATATATATATATATATATATATATATATAATATATATATATATATATATATATATATATATATATATATATATATATATATATATATATATATATATAAAGGTGTAGCCCCATCGATTTTTGTGAGGGTGCGGTTGTGCCTCACAATGGGGGCAAAACCGTTTTTTTTCACTAAGTGTAATTTTTGTGTAATAACATTTTCAAAACCCGTTCAATTTTTTTCCTTAATGCATCAATTTAAAGCTTAATGATGTGGTTATTGAGATAAACTGTTAAAAAAACACATTTCGTTTTTATTTTCAAATAACATTAATCCAAACGTTACGGGGGCGGTTATGCCCCCACTTCCCCTATATATATATATATATATATATATATATATATATATATATATATATATATATATATATATATATATATATATATATATATATATATATATATTATATATATATATATATATATATATATATATATATATATATATATATATATATATATATATATATATATATATATATATATATAAATATATACATATATATATATATATATATATATATATATATATATATATATATATATATATATATATATATATATATATATATATATAAATATATATATATATATACATATATATATATATATATATATATATATATATATATATATATATATATATATATATATATATATATATATATATATATATATATATATATATATATACATATATATATACATATATATATATATATATATATATATATATATATATATATATATATATATATATATATATTCTTATATAAATATTTGTGTGTTTCTGTGTGTATATACTGTTTTTACAGAACACTTATAGATTTTAAATCTTGTATAAAAATATGTCGTATAATATATGTGTGTACATTCAATATTGTGTTGAATTAAATTTGTTGAAAGTACTGTTATTCGTCTTTAAATTTTTTTTTGTTTAGCGTTTCATAGTAGTACTATCGAGTTTACAAATTTTATGGTCACAATAAACATTATCAGATAAAAATGTTAACAGATATTCATTTGGTGCAAGTTGCCACTTTGTGTAATAAAGTTTAAAAACTTTATCCAAAAACACATGGAAAGTCCATAGTTTTTACAAATATGCAGAATATTGCAACTATACAACATGCTATGTAACATCAATTATGTTTAGTGCCTGTGGTCAAATTGTCTCTGGTTATGTTTATAAAGCTGACCATTTATGCACAACAAGAACCAAGTGGAATCCCTATGTATATACAATAAAAAATATTATCAAAGTCAGGAAGATTTGATTCTATTCACTTTTTTGACAGGTTTGTTATTGGTTCTTTTTTGTCAAATTGTAGAAACATTCCTATTATTATCATCAAAGCCATTTTTACAGTGAAAAGGTATCTGAATTTACAAAAGAAAATAGTACCTTGTTGAGAAGGAAACAGTATCTCGTAACTATAACACATACGTTGTTAAAACATTAGAACAATGTCACGCGTTTGTGTGGG